TCAAAATATCCCAATATTCCAAAATCCCCTCACATCCAACCCTAATCTCTCTTCATTCCTTTGGAGATAATCATTGTCCCTATTTGCATCTTTTCTATTTTATATTAATGGTTTACTAGTTACTATTTCTCTTCTCTCTCTCTCTCTCTCTCTCTCTCTCTCTCTCTCTCTCTCTCTCTCATTCATAATATACATTAGCTTTTTCCACACATTTATGCAACTTAATAAATGATAAATGTTATAAAGTGGGATAATGTTTGTCTTGAATCTCATGTTTCATGTCACATGCATACAAGACATACACATTCTTACATATAACTTTAGTTCATTCCTATTGAAAACCTAAAGAATTTCAAAGCACTTTTAATGTCTTCATTACTCTCATTTAGTTTTGTGGTAGTACATTTGTGTAGTATACAATGCTTATATTTCTTGTGGGAAATTAGTACATGAACATAATACGTATTCATTGTATTTTTAATTCCTTTTTCTTCCCTCCCTCATCTCTTTATCTCCTCCTAATTTTTTTGCACATATTTGCAGTGCATGTTTACATTCCTTGTGTGTATTTAGTACACATACATTACACTCCTTCCACATTTTGTATCACTACTATGAGGACACTTTCCTATGTATTTCCTGGAGCACAGAAAAGAAAAATTTAGGCACACATGCAACGGGGAATAGAATTTCTGGTCTCAGGATATGCCTGTGTTTAGTTTATTTAGACAATGCCAAATTGATTTTGAAAGTGGTTGTAGCAAAATTATATGTCTACTCACAGTCTGTGACAGTTCCTGTTTGCCCAAATTTTATGACTTTTGGCCAGACAGATTTTTCTTTTTCTAAAAAACTTGTCTAGTAAGTATTTGTTGATATATCACTTTTTTTTGACAGTTTCCATTTTTAGGTCTTTTTAATCACCACATCGTATTTTTGTTTTCCATCTGTACCTTTCCTATTTTGTGATATATCTCTTATGTGTTATATTTTTTAAGGAACCTAAGTGCTTTTGATAGTCTAAACTTGGCTCTGTATATGGCCCTGTAAATATCTTCTTCCACTCTGTAGCTTATCTTTTCATTTTCATTATGATAGCATGTGTTAAATAGATTTTATTTTTCATAATAAAACTTGTCATGTTTTTATATTTAGTTTTTGTTTTGCTTTTCATTTTTTAAAATCTTTCCTTATCTTGAAATTATATGCTATTGTTCTAGGATACCACACAAAATTGCTATTTACCTTTCACTTGGAATTATTTTTTATAGTTTGATGCTGGGATTGAAATTTTATTCTTTTCAATTTCAGTACCAAATGAGTGGTTTATCTTGTCCCAAAGATTTGACATGTGACTTGTTTGTAACATATTGTAAGCATCTAATGTTCATAATTTTGTAAGTTTTGAGGGAACTTTATTTCTTGCTTCAGTGATTTTAATTTTTGTCCTTTTCTTTTCTTGGTTTTTATTGCTTAGTTTTATCCCTAACATCATTAATAAATTTCCCTGCAAAATGTCTCATTTTTGTTATATTTATTCTAGATTATTTTTTCTATTCTAAATTTTATTATTTTAAAAAATAAGTACTTTCTTATGTTCAGAAAAGTAAGTGACATTTTTACATATATTACTGACTGAAACAAATCATTTTGCTTTATCTCATTAACTCTAATCATCTATTGTATCAGTATTTACAAATAATAATAATTTTATCTATTAAAAAGTATTCTTTTTGAAAAATACTTCATCAATTTTGAAGTTGCCGTAAACTTTAATAGGTACATATAACATTTTAAAATTCTTTTTAAGCCATATTTTCTATATAAGTTTGGATTAAATATTCTTCCTTGTGAAGGTCAGTGAGATTATCATATTTTATCATATTCATGTGTTAGCAGTGAGGTTAAATCAATTTTTTGTTCTAAAATATACTCGGCTTCCTCATATCTGACATTATAGAAGTGATCTTTCCTGCCTTTTCTTTTCCTTCTCAATGTTGAGGTGCAAAATAAACTCAGCACTACCTTACAGTAAAATACTGATTCGATGTATTTTATATGTCACCGACATAGTTCAAATTTGAGTGAAACATCTGTGTGTGCTGACTTATGATTCTAAGAGCAAATATTTTATTCTTTGGTCTACAATATGATCAATATAGATATTTTCCAGATATTTTCAGTGTCACTCTATACTCCTCATCCCACTTCACTCTATCTCTCACCCTTATTAAAAATTTTATTAATGTTGTTGTCCTTCTGGATGCAATATCTTAAGAAAGTTTTAAAGTTAATGCCCCACAATGCAACAGTCTGAACTGTTCTCCTTTTTCACATGGTTCTCAGCACTGCTGATCCAGGTCACCAAGAATAGACAGTTCTTTCAGCAATTACGAATTGTAGCACTTTCTTCCCTCAGAATTTGTGCTTTAGCTTGATTTCCAGTTTCTAAGGAAGTCTCTTTATCATAAGTTTAGTGCTGTATGTTAAATATTTTAGTATAAATTCTTTATGTCTTTCATGCTGTGAAAGTTTCCCTCAATATCTGGTATTGAATAAAATGAAAGTTGCTTTCCATATGAATGTTGAAAGAATAGTATTCAGTTATATGTATGTAACAGCATATATGCAGCTTTCTGATTATCTTTAATGTCAGCCAAAAGTACTTTGAAAATAATTTCACAGAATGGAAGTGAAAAGTAGTATAACTGAAAAGTAGTATAAATGTGTAGACAAAAATACTCTGCACATTTGCCACTGTGATAGATACTGCTAGATTAGTCTTTCCAGAAAGTGTATCACATTGTTCTCCCTAGCACTGTATAAAAGTACTTGTTTATCTTCACCATTATGGAATATCTCTTATCAAACCTTGATTTTCATTAATCTTGTTGAAATAAAAAAAAGTGTCATGTTAGTTTTAGCTTAATTGAAATTTTCATTTTCTAGATGACGTCTTTATGGTTAACAGCTCAGAGTTCTTCCTCTGTAAATTTTCTGTTCATATTTGTGTATATACTCTCTGCTTGCTTTGTGATTTATATTACTTTTACATATTTATTTCACTGCTTATCATATGAGTTACCAACATTATCTTTTTTTAGTATTATGATGTTGCATATTTTTGCTATGAAAAACTACCTTAAATATCTTTCTTCTCTGTTGTAAATCAGTGTTGGTATAGCCCTCTAAATTGAAATATTATAAATGGACATTTTTTGTCATTACTTACTTTTTTATCATTTCAGTGTTCTTCCCTAAAAAATAAGTGCTTAGATTCAGAATATCTTTAAGTATTTTCCTCAATTCATAATGATTAGGATAGACAACTGACCAGTTAATAAAAAATGAAAAAGGAATACCACTTTAAATATATATGATTTATATTTCTATAGATACATTTAAAATACATACGAATAAATACTCATGAAGAAACATGTTTGATGTTTTACCATCAACCTTACATGTTATTCTTTAACAACTCTATTTTGAACAAAAACTTGTTTGATAAGAGATCAGTATTCCCCGAGGCAGTATTGCTATTTCTGTGCCCAGGTTATTTTAAAGTTTTCTTGGTTGGAAGGAAGTACACTGGATGCCAGACTTCTAGAATTTCAACTTCTTCCTAATCATTCATTACTCTCCATGAATAGCATTTATTTTACACAAGCTTTTAGAAAGTAACTCACTAGTTTTAAGCACACAGGATTATGTGAGCATCTCCTAACATGCCATATAGCAAAAATGAAGAATGAAGGTTAATTCAGTGACTTGGTTAAATGGAACTAAATTAACTACACTTCTACCTGCCATGAAGAGTGATGATTAATTCAGCAAGTTGATTAGATGCAGTTAGATTAAGACAGTTTAAATCGTGTCTGCCATTTTTACCTTTCTTAGAAGTGCCAGATATATTTTCAAGTCACTTAGTCTTTTGATTTTTAAGTTCTTTTTTTAAAAGGCAGATTAAAATGAGGAAATATAGACATAATTATGTTCTTGAGAGTGTATTTAAAGCAGTGTTGGCTATTCAAAAAACCTGGAAAAATGACTAAAATACTTTTCCCTTTGTACAATCAGCAACATTTGATTTAAAATATGTTTTGTAACAATTTCTTCATGTGCCTGTATTTAGATATCAATAGCTTGTTGAATTTGCAATAATTGTTCAGATTCTTAAATTGGAAAAAATCATTTTTCACTGAGTTTTGTTTTAATCTGGAAATCTGATAAAATACTGCCTACAGTAAGTCAAATAAAAACATATATCAGAATGTAACAAACACTAGTATCTGAAACATTATAATCATCACCCTCATTGTCACAATTAGAACTACCATTTACTGAATATATACTGCACATCTGTCATCTTTTTGTATGTTTTCTTTAGTTTACTGTTAAAAACTAAAACAAAAACAATGAAAGAACATTATTAGTTACATTTTCCAGATAGGAAAACATTTCCATTTTTCTGAAAGAATAATACAACACATGGCAGAATAAGGTTCATAACTGTCCTATTTTACTTTTTCCCCTTCAGCAGACATTTTTCATAAACATATCTATATTCATTAAAAACTCACTAAAAAGTACCAAAGATAGCCTGTTACTTTAATCAAAAGGAGATTTAATTAAAAGGATATAAATTCATCTCATCAATAGATCTAGCAAAAGATTTAAGATCAGAAATTGGAAAGTCAGCAGAAACCCAACCCTTTTGTATTCTTCTGGATCATTCTCATCTTACCCCTGCCCCTTCTGACCTGGAACCTAATTAATTTAGTGGGTATAATACCAGCCACAAAGATTGCCTCAGAATTTCACTCTCTGAGTCCTGAAATCCAAATTTAATTGCCCTAGCTTGCAATGTGTCAGTTATTCACCACTTACCAGTGAAGGTGGAAGAATTTATACATTACTAATAAAGGGCATCTCATCCCTGGAAAAGTAAGAGAGATTTCATAAAGAATGTTGAGTTTAAAACTTACCCAACAACTTACCAAAATCTCCCTTTTCTTCTCTGTATGTAATTGAATTCAATGCTCCTTGCTGGGCATGGTAGTGTATGGTTCAATTCCAGCACTCAGGTGGCTGAGACAGGAGTGTAGCCTCAAGCTCGAAGCCAGCCTGGGCTACGTACTGAGTTCAGGACCCTGTCTCAATAATAATAATAATAACTCTTTAGCTATTTTATAGTTAAATATAGCAAAGTGATATTTTCCATCACAGAATGCAACTGCAAATGATGTATGTCTATTCTAGGCTCAGATCCTATCAGATTCATTCATACTTCCTTCTGTCAGAGATGACCACATTGGGGAAATCTCATACAGTAGCCTAGAAAGTTATATTATTGTCAGAACTCTACAGCTTAAATCTCTAAAGGATGAGGTGGAATATTGCTGCTTGGCCAAATTTCCAGCCTACTCATTTCTCTTACTTGGAAGATATCAAGTTTCGGAATATTTGAGTAATACATTTAGGGAATTTTTTTTTTTCCAGTACTGGTGTCCAACCCAAGGCTTTCACACTGTGTTACATCTTAGCCCTTTTTTTATTTCTTATTTTGAGACAGTGTCTCATTAAATGGGTAAATTGCCCAGACTATTCTCAAACTTGTAATCATACTGTCAGTGGGGTGAGGTGGGGTATAACTTTATAGTTGCAAATACATTTGTCTTAGTTTAATACTCAAGAGAAGCTTCATAGGCTGAAAAATATTTTGGAAGATTTTTTCTAAATACCTCAAAACCATAAATAGTAAGGGAAAAGTCACTGGGGAATTATAATAAATCAAAGTGACATTTCTTTGAAATCACCTATTTAATCTCAAATACTTATTTTAAAATGTCTATATGAGTTTGTATGCATAACATCACTTTCTTTAATTATGGTTGAAGTACAAATCTTTGTTTTCTCCTCTGTGGTTGTTATGGTTTGGGTCCACACGTCCCCCCAAAGTCTCATGCAGTCATGAGTGGGCTGCTTTACAGAGATTGCTGAATGTAAAGTATGTGATTAATTCATGGTCCAGTGCTGAGATTAAGGGTGTTAATGCCACACCCATCCTAGAGCAGTAGCCTGCATACAATTTTTAAGGAACTAATGTTTCTCTGTCTCTCTGTGTCTCTCTATCCATCACTCCCCTCCCTTGCTTTGGGGTCTTTCACTGCCATGAACTGTTGCCTCTCTGACATGTGCCAATCTGCCTTGCAGACAGTCATTTATGGAATGAAACTTTCACAAACTGTGAATTTTCCTTTTTTAATTCTGGTTGTCAGGTATTTTGTCTCAGCAGTGAGAGGAAAGTAACTAAGATGGTGGTGTTTTGAGACAGGATCTCCTTAAAAACTTAATTTGCTAAATTGTTCAGTCTGGGTTTGAATTTGGGCTTTTCCTTCTTTAGACTACCAGGGTTGTGGAATTAAAGGTGTGGCTCACCACACCCACCTACAGTGGAAATTTTTATTTTAGCTGCTTAGACTCATTTTTCTTTAACTCTTACTCATATACTAAGGAGACAGACTAGTTGTGTCCTTTTTATGCTTCAGGACACACTTTCCAAAAGAAGCTAATTATTGAAAAGTAATTAGATTTTTCAAAAATTCTCAGCAAAAATTGTTAACATAGTTTTGTGCCTAAACATAGATTCAAAATTATTTTAGCTCAGTCATTGTCCCAAAGGAGATTTCTATCTAATTAGACAAAATACATAATTAGTCAGATATTATACACCTGTAATGTCAGGCTACCCATCTGTAATCTCAGCACTCAGGAGGTCAAGGCAACAGGATCATCACTGAGTTCAAGGCCAGCCTAAACTGCACAGTGAGACCCCCCTCACCAAAAAAGACATATAACTGCACAATGATTAAAAAAAATGTAAAACATTTTCAATACAGTTTGCAAATTTTTCAGTGTATGCAATTAAAAATCAATTCCAAAAGCGTATATTCTATTTCCTACAACATTAAAAAATAAAATGAAAATCTTAAGATTCCTATGTTAAAATTCTAAATGTATGTGACCCTTGTGTAGATATAGACACAGATACAGCAATATATTTAGACTTTATATGCACAAAAATATCTGAAGTGTGGACTTCTCAAATATGTACAATATCATTATGATGGGATAAGTAATTTTAATGGTTTGTTTATTTTACTCTATAATTTTCTTATTTAGCAGGTTCACATTATGTATAAAAAAGAAAGATTTAATGTAAAAGTATGTGACCAAAAAGGGGAATTCTGTTCATTGCCTATGAGTTACTTCTAAAATATTTTTAAAGGAGAGGTCAGGGAAAATGTCAAGTGCCAGGCCATGTTTATTTAGCAATAAAGCAAAAGGAGTTAAAAGAAGATAAGAAAAACATTAATGGAATAACCACACCTAAGAACTCTTCAAATATTTGAGAAAGGAGTACCTTGTTTGAGAACTTATCACCCTCATGAATATATATTAAGATTTTATTACCGAGTTAGTTTATATAATCCTTTATTCTTTCAGAGTTTAATTTCTTTTTACAAGTCGTATGTGTAATATGACTGGCCCAGGAGAGGGCAGACCAACACATAAAGAAATTTAACTTGATCTTTTAAAGAAATAAGGCCTGTAGCAGGACCAAATCCCTACAAAAAGGCATGGCAACTTGCTCTCCATATACGCAATGTTCTTTTCTCTCTGTATTTTAATTGTAATTTGTGACCAACTTCAAATGTGAATGCTCCTTTCTGAATAAATGATTACCATGATGACTGGTGCCATGAGTGCCTTCCAGAAAGAGGTCTTCTTAGACATTTCTCACATAGTAGTACATCCCTTTAATATCAGTTTGCTGATACTTATAAGAAAAATAAAAACACTTCTGCAGAACCATACTTTTAATTAAGTAAGGAAACAAATATCAAATTAATTTTTTTAAAAAAGAAAGTATGATATTAAATGAATAATCTATAATTTACTGAAATTAAATTTCTTATAAAGAAAAGTTAAACTATTTTCAAACTGTACAAGTTTGATATTGTTATATGTTTGGCTCACTGAAATTAAATTTCTTACAGAGCAAAGTTAAGCTATTTGCAAACTCCACAAGTTTGATATTATTAAATATTTGTTTTAATATTAAAAAGACTGTTTATTTCTTTCATGTATTTTAAAAGAGAAATACTTATTATGTTAATTTTTTTAAATATCAAATGATTTTATTACTTGCACAACAGAAAAGCACTTGACTATATGATACACTAGTAAAGTAACCATACCCAATTATATTTTGGGGATTCTAGTGTGACTTACAAGTAATTCATCACAATCTATTGTGCCTTTTTGTCATCTGGTTTAAACTATGTTTCCGAACAAATCCTAAAGTACAAAATGTTAGGTTGATATTTAAGATAAATTCAAGTTTATAAAAGTTTTCCAAAACTTTTTTGCTTTCACTGTTTTCATTCTTTATTTAATGATCTGATATTAAAAATGACATATCATTACTGAAATAATTGTTTAAAAATTACAAATATATGCTCAAATTAGTGTACAACTAAACTCTAAAATTAATGAGAAGATTAAAAACTTTGATATTTTCATGAAATATTTTTTTAAACATTTGCCAATGAGCATTTCATAGTAACTGAGTAAATCAAAGATATTGGTTATATTATGACAAATTTTTTCCAAAACCAAAAGAAAAATTAAATTCTACTACACTCCAAATTAAAGTGTTTACATTTAGTCATGTTAATGAAAAGTGTTATTTACTTTGACTAAAGACATTTTTTCACAGTTTAGATAAAAATTAATCTCATCCATTCTATGTATAAAATTATTATTTATAGCTTTATCATTTTATATTCTAATGAGCAAATTTTTTAAATGTCTAAATGCCTATGGTCTTGAATAATAAACATTTCTAATTCTGATAGTGGGATTTTTTAAAAAAACAAGATTAACTTCTGACTCTCAAATAGAAAAATAAACCTCGGTTCCTCTATTCTCTAACTTAGAAGTCACAAAGAAGGCAGAGAGAATCCTTAGTTTTATTACTCATTTGATTGATTTTTAGAGACTTAGTCATTGGCAAAATGTTTTCACTATTTTTGTGTAGTTTAACAACTTTACCATTTAAACAGGGATATTCTGAACACCCAAAGTTTTCTGAACAAAGAAAGCTAAATGTTTGTTAACAAAAGATCTACAGCTTGTGAAATTTACCAACAGAAAATGTTTGCTTCATATGTTTATTTATACATTTTAGAATTAGATGGTGTTTTTTCCCTTATGCTGCCACCACGGAATTTAAAACATGGCCCTCTAGTGCTTAATTTTCCTGTATTTATATTTAGCAAAAAATTGATTTCAAAACTTGTAGAAAACAAAGTAAATCTAGCCCCCTCCCTCAAATTGTAGACAGAAAATAATGTCCTGGAAAAATACAAGATCCTTTCTACTGTTTGAATCAAGACGTTTTCGTGCTAAAATCAGACACACACACTCACTCTCAGTTGCTGGTTAAATAGCAAGGAATTCAAGAGCGCTCACTGGGAGCTCCAGGATGAATGTTCAGTCCTGGGGAAAGCAAACATGGTCCGCCAGTCTGTTATGCTTTGGGTTACCCACAGGCCACCCCATCCTCAGCCACAATCCCTAAGCCTCAGACAAGTCTTGTTTCATGAAGAAAATTGGGCCGTGTGTATACACCAGTTAGCAAATTATGGAGAAAGACTCTGCTCTACTACCTGTGTTAGACACTTTACACAAATGCTGTCCAAATAAAATATAAAGTGCATTTCAAATACAATTTCAAATTACCAAGAAATCTCAATAAATAATTGCTGAAAACGTGTTTTTAAAAGATGTTATATTTAGCACCGTATATCCAAAACATCATTTTGTTTATGTCAACAGGTAATTATTATAAAAATTATGAATTAAATAGTTTTGTCTTTTTATCATGCTGTGTATATTACACTTACAAATGAGCACCGAGCTCATCTCATTTCAGTCACTTATTGAGCACTCTTGTAGCCTCCTGTGATAGTGCTTAGCATGCTGGAAAGCACAGTTCAGCACCTCTATTCTAACTTTTACAGTCTCTAAATACAAAGAAATAGTTTTTAAAAACATTAAACTTGATAATAGATTAATATAATGAATACAAATAAGCTAGTGGCAAGTTTTCATATTAAGTACCATAGGTGCTTGGGCCCATTACTTAACCTCTGCATATTTCTGCTTCCCCATCGAAAATATAGAAGAAACGCATTATTACCTACTTTAAAGGATTGTTGAAAGATTAAATCAGTTTCTCTAAAGCACAC